AGACCATGTACCCAGTTATGAAGCGGTTTGAGATTCGTTCAAATGATCGCTTTAATAAAACTACAAATAACCTTTGTGGACGGCATCAACTATAAAGACGTCATACTGTTACTCATTAATTGACGTATTCATCACAACTTGTATTATTGTCATTAGCATCAAGTTTTTTACTATGACAAAAAAAGAGAAATTAATATTAGGTAACATAACATACGTTTCTCTAATACGAAAGTAAGTAACTAACTAAAGCATGGAAATCGGAAACATCGACGGTACCAGTTAAGTTAGTTTTCTACACTTTACAATTTGACACGGCTGGGAATCGTATCCTCAGAGATGGCGAAACCATGAAAACCGGTGTACAAATCAGTAAACCACAGAGGTCATATAAACAAGACGTCGAGAAAAAAACAAATAGTAATTTACCTAGATCGGCCAAAATGTGCTATACAGATAATGCAATTGTATTTAAAGGAGGTACGCAATAAAATTCCTTGATAGTACTTCAAAGGTAGTAAATCACGTCCATTCCTTCGCTCGGGGACGATCCTGGCCGATTACTTAAGGTCGTGACCGAAATATGCCCATAAATTTTGATCGAGCGACCGATGACAATTATGCGCCATTATATCGGCAATGATGGCCGATTGTCGTTTGCCGAAAACGCGATTGTTTGTCGTTTATGATGTAGGTTCTCAGAATGGCAGTCGGCTATGTTTGCTCCTTTGTGGTGCAAGAGTTTTAAAAGAAGTCACTTTACTTTTTATAATTATTATTTCGATTTCTTAGATTTGAGCTCTACTGCTACTAACGTTGCTATTGTTTTCTACCGAGGATGTTACCCGACGCCATTGAATATAAAAAAAAAACCCTAATTTCAACCGGGAAATTAGTTTCTCTATATCCAATATTTCCACTGATGACCTCAATGACCCAACGGTTTGCATTGTGGGTGCTGTACGGATAGGTCCCGGGTTCGATTCCCGGTGGGGCCAATTTTGAGAAAGAAGTCTTCTAAACTTATTCCAGTACCACTAACCGGAATGAATTTCTTTGCTCAGGTATTTATAGCACAGACCACGTTATTATTATGATGTTATTGAATAATGGATCCTGAGCTAGTGATAAGAAACCGTCTTTAGTTTAGTTTTGCCAATCGTCAGACACAATGAAATGATCCTAACGAGAACCTGAATCGATTTGAATTAAAAACAAACAAGTGAGTGTATTTATTGAAATTTTCTTTTATGAAATAACACCACTAGTTTTGTTATGATTCAATACATAGATCGAACATACAGAAAAATTTTTTTTCGTCGATCCGGTGGGACTTGAACCCACGTCCATGCTGCACCATAGCATTGCTCTAACCATCTGAGCCACCATTTACCAATGACCATGGGACATCATGTAAAGAGCCCGAAACGTTGGCTTGTTTGAAAAAACAAATATAGTGATTTAAATCCGGAAAAGTATTTTCATTTCCTAACATATTTTATTCTTCATTTTCACATTTTGACACACATTGCTTTATAAGTTTTTAGGTACAACACCATTCTTGAGCGTCTTTAACCGGTTTTGGTGTCTAACGGATTAGAAATTGAACCCGCAGTTGTTTCGAAAACTCCCAGATAATCAGGAGCTTCTTCAGGATATCCTACTCCAGTGATATACTATTCCAAAAAGTAGAATAACATTAGCCGACACCTGTCAGACGTTTTAGCAACTGCTGTAAAAGCCAATGTTATATGTTTACTGGAATAATATTATAAAACTTGTTACCGTATCCTAAGCCACATACATACATAAGTATAGACAAGGCAGTAATAATTGAAAGTATACACAGCTTGGCCTGGCCCGGAGATGTTTACAGCCGACATTATCATAACTCCTAAGTGACCACACCTGTGACCTATGCTGCTGTGGCTTGACGTGAGTTAACGGACCACTGGAATTAATTTTTTTTTAATAATAACTGACATATCTCGGTGACAAGTGACGCAGCAGTCTAACATAAAAAATAATTATAACCTTTTGTAAAAAAACCGACCCCAAAAGTTCCTGGAATTACATCTATTTGCTAAGTTTTATTGAAAACCCTAGTTGACCACCCTTAGAGGTCGAATATTTTCTTCAAATTTATATAGGACCAATACTGAAGCACCTTCTTTAAAAAAAAAAAAAATTATCGTCATCTGTTCATAAATGCCAAAGTTATCGCATAACATACACAAAAAAACCCTCCTCCTTATTTGAAGACGCTTAAAAAGTGACCGCCTGGGCCACCTTTCTGTGGCTAGTATATTGAAGGGTCACTTGTACGTTGTCAAGAGTTCGTACTGCGTTTAAATTAATATTCATTATTTTACTATCAAATTCGCAAAAGGGACTATTATTGTTTTTGAATCATCGGTTATATGTAAATAAAATATGCGATTTTAAAACCTTCAAGTTATAATTAGGCATCTATGACAAATAACCTGCTTAAATATTAAATCATCAAGAAAATAAATATCACTAACAAGAAAAAAAAATTGGAGTCATTTATATAATTTAATAAAGATGCGAAGTGTAATGGTTCATTTTGTTGTATAACATCACATAATATGCATATTAGAGTGAATTACGGACGAGTGGGGAGCGTCGTTTTAATAAACAACGAACTATTTGGCGGACGATAAGCGGCTGGTCTGCGCCTGCGACGTTTTTCCGATAGACGCTATGCGACAGAATTTTTCGAAGAGCAGTTATGGTCATAGAGACTCTTTATTTGTAGGTCAGTTTTAAAATTATAAACGTTTAAGTTTTAAAATTGTAAATATGATTGCTTTTTTAAGAGATTTTTTATTAAACACACAGCCACACTTTTACATAGAACTTTGCTTTGTCAGCTGTTACCATAATTTTTTTGGTTTATTTCTTAATCTAGTTAAATTTTACTTTGCCTTACTTTATTTTTGTAACATAAATAAATGGTTCACAATTATCTGAGTCGATACCCAGTTTTGTACAATTGTCTGTACTGCGTAGGAGACGTCAAGGGAGCGTTCCCATTATGTTGTATGCAGTGTTGTGTCAAGTGTCGTGGTTTGTATATTTAAATGACGTTGATCACATATACATCAACTCGATGAACTGTCGTTCACGACCTTTTTGACTGTCAAGACAATGGGAAGAGCTAGAAAGAAAGTCGTCCGATGGTAAATAAAACGTCACGATAAAAATGTGATGACAGACAATCAGAGAAACAACGATTTTTAAGCCGATTGACTAATCGGCTTAAAAATCGCACCAATCTTCGACAAAACGCAGTTCATTTGAAATGCAATCGATATTGCCTGAAATTCTTTATTAAGACCCTGTAAAAAAGTGTCAGCGTCAAAAGAGACAGACTTATTGCTTGCATCATCTGTTAAGAGAGGCACCAAAGTTACCACGGGGAATCGCATTAGCCTGGTTTTTGTCTTTTTTTTTTATAAAAAATACGTACGCATTTGACCTCCACCTCACCTGATGGAAAGTGCGAACGCTTCGTGCAAATCCGGGGAATATCCACGACATAGGGGTGGAATACCAGCCCATGTCAAGTCCCCCAATGATGGAAAGGGGAAGGCGGAATCATATTATGCAATTCCATCGCACACTCTTCGTGGTATTTGCGTTTCATATCGGTTTGAAAGACACCGGCCGGAAAGAATCGGCTTTCTCCGCAGGTCTAATTTCCAATCGCATTGCTAAACGTGTGAAGACATGAATGGCTCGTATCTTTCCCGTATCGCTCAATCGTATCCGTGTGGTTCTGACGACGCCGACGACGGTTGAAAGCAGCCGAAGATGTTTGATTACTGCTTATAGATTATTTTCGTCAACCCCTGTCGGTCAGCGATATCGGCTTAGATGCGATAAGTATGGTGAGACTTGAATTAATAGTTTGATTGATTAAATACTATATGTAGATCAAATATTATGTGTTTATGAATAAAAATTATTATTATTATTAAATAATTTGTAATGTAGGAAATGAAACTATTTTTCCGGATTTAAATCGCGTATATTTGTTTTTTCAAACAAACCGACGTTTCGGGCCCTTTACAGGTCCCATGGTCACGGTTGACTGAGGTGGTACAGTCTTCAACCAGTTATGTCTAATATTGATGCAAACCACCTTATTTTTTCACTATAGTTACAATAGTTATTAATTAAACACCTTATTTTTAATTTTACAAAGAAAACATTCCAATTTACGCTACATTAAGTTTTACAAATTATTTTATTGAATGAATTTTTATTATGTTAAATTTATTATTAATATAAAATAATTAGTAATTAATAATTAGTACTGCAGTCTTATGTTTGTTTGGGATTTTTCATTAGAGGAAATACTGGATCCCAAACTGGTGGTACGGAGAACCATCTTCCCTGTTGAAATTAGGATGTTTTTTAATTTCAATGGCCTCTCGCAGCATCTGGGTAGATAACGGACTTCTTTTGCAAGGACCTGGGGTTTGTCAAACTTCATTGAATGCGTAGGTTTATCCATGACATGCTCGCAGACTGCAGACTTGTTTACGCGACGGTGTTTGACATTAGCTATATGTTCTTTGACGCGGGTACAAATACTTCGCTTTGTTTGTCCAATATAATAGAGACCGCACTCACAGTCAAGCTTATAAACTCCTGCATCCTGTAAGGGGATGTACATACATTTCACGGGTCTTAGGAACTGAGAAATCTTCCTCAGGGGCTTGAAATAGGTCTTGATAGACGCACGCCTGAGGACTCTTCCGATCTTATCTGTAACACCTCTCACGATTTAAATCCGGAAAAATAGTTTCATTTGCTATGTGTAACAATAGCGAAAACCTAAAAACTTAATTTGTAATGCTTTCCAAAGTTCGAAGTTTGAGGACTGACCTGAAGAAAATCATCTAAACAGGTGTGATGATTTTTTTTCCATTTATTCCTCAGAAACTTCTACATTTTAAGTACACTATGCTCACCTCATTACCCGATGATCGTAGCGACGTAATAATGCGAGCTATCCGTCAAGTGCGCAGGCGCAGGGGCGAGACGCGCGGGGGGGTAAAGGACACGGCTTTCTCAGCACTGCCCTCGAGCGGAGCGCGACAGATGACGCTAAATCTGCCCACAGATTCTTCTATAAAACCGCTATTTTCTATCTAAATTACTACCTCACTCTTACAAATACATTACTTGTTTTTTACCTGCCAAGAACTCAAGGCGCCGTACTGAACAGGCAATAGTCAGCGTTAAAAGAGGGTATTTTAGCAAATGTCAGTCTTTGATATTAGATTGCGAAAGATGCTTTGTTAACCTGTCGACCGCCGTCATTTCGGGGCAGAGGTCGGCGGAAAACGCTGGTAATATTGTCCATGCTGTCACTGTTTATGGAATCGATCTACATCGCTCATGGATCTATGTTTAGGATGACAGTGTTGTTTACGTAAATTTTGAAAATAGAAATTTCATAAATTTGAAAGTTGGTATTTAAAAATCATATGGCGTTTCAGGATTCTCCAGTTGAAAATGTTATTGACAGAATGTTGGTATATAGGTACGGTGACAGTATTATGATATTGGTATTTTAAAGTAAAGGTTTAATATTATTATTTATTCGAATACACACAACATTACAATAATGATGATAAAAATACGTTAAAATAATTGTAAATACAATGTCGGTATTGATGGATGATATATTTTCCAAGCTTTTCAAGCTTTTTTATTCGGTTCCCGAACTGGATACAATTCCAAAAATACAATTAACAATGATTTGAGAAGAATGTACCTTATTAGATGTGAACATTCCATATTAAAAAACAAAAATTGTGTAAATATTAATTAAGTGAAAATAATTAAAAAAGTGTTTAATACGAAATATCTAATCAACATGCTCTCACCGGTATTTTCACGTTCCGAAGAGGTATGGAAGTCAGTTTTTGGAATAGCTTTGCCATTTGACAAGTGACAGCAACGTCACCAGCACCCTTCAAAACCGGAGCACAGTAATGCTGACAATACTGCTTGGCGGCAGAAATAGGTAAGGTCTCAGTACTTCCCTTGACTAACTCTTTCAAAAGGAGCTCTACTGTTACTAAATGTGGTACAGTGGAGTGTGGACTGAATTCTAAAACAGAAATTGATTTTAGAATTTCTCAGAGTTGCTTCAGACTGGCTTTGAAATTAGACAGTTAACGCACAGTAATAACTTTCTCCTTTTAAGTAGTTCTCAGCGACCAAACAAAGGCTATAAAACTTGCGGTACTGACGTCCATCGATGGATCCTGTTAACCTCTATTACTGAAAACACGGCCTGTTGTGTTGTGTTCTTGTCGCTCGCCAGTCGCGTAATGCCGCCCGCATTGTTTCTACTACGTGTCCGTATTTGGGCAACAATCTTATCGATCTATCTACATAGTTTTGTGCTAAATCAAACGGTCAGTTTATCATATCGTGGTGTCCCTAATGGTTTTGGTAATTTATTTATATATATACAACCATTATATATATAATGGTGGACGAAAGCACTGCTGCGCGTCAGGACCACCGTGTGACTCTATGACACGTGATAGGTTAAACAAACATCTTTGATCGCAAAAAGACAGCGAATGTTATATTCAGTCACTTAATAATTTTTTTACGTTGTAATGAGGAACATAATCACAATCAATCCGCACCCTTGGTGTAATAACGCGACATCTGTACAATGACAGACGTTTAAAGATTCTACAAACGAAAATAGTTGATAAGTGCACGACAAACGACACGAGTAAACGACAGGCCTGTTCATAGCAGTTGCAGTGCCCCTGAGAGCTTTAAGCTGCCAAGATCTGAGGAGCATTGCCACTGCGCCCGTCACCCTGAGACGTAAGTTGACAAGTCCTATGTGCCTGTAATTTCACCAGCACCCTTTGTGCTCATATTATTGCTTAGAGGCCGAAATATGTAAGGTGGCAGCATGTGTCTGGACGAACGATAAAGATTTCAGTTAAACTTCTTGACGAGGTAAATTAAGTAAGCATAGTCGCAATACAGCACTATAGCGGCTCCACAAAGCCGTTTCTCAACGTAGGCCGAATGGGTCAGTTAAATTCACAGGTCAACACGGAAATTAACGTTACAAGAAAGGCTTTACTTGAATTAATTCGATCTGATGTCATCATTGTCTCTTTGTGCGTGGGAAACTGCGCACACACATTTAAATCCTTTAAGATCTGTTCTGACAGTCGTAAAGTTAGATAGATTACTTTGTTTTTAGTGTATTGCAGTAGTGTTTCTATGAGGCTACCCGATTTAAACAGATAAATGTTCGATTTAATAGTAAATTGATGCATAAAACCACTAAGATAATATGGGCACGGGTCTCAGTTATGGAGAGGGTTTTAGGCTGCAGTCCGACCCCGTTGGTCTTGTGAATCCTCTTCGATTTGCAGGTTTTACCACGTAACTAAAGATTTTAATTCTAAGTAAATGACGCAGAGATTCGAATCGCTGACCTTCTTAATAGAGTATAACTTTTTAGTAGTATAACCTTTTTTGACGATAGTTTTGCACGTCCATCATACGAGAAATCGCAAATTTTGTTAAAGCAAGTATTGCCACTTAAATAGACATGTGACTTTTTGAAGACGCCAGTCAAGTATCATATAAATAGTCACCGGCCAATTAGTCTGCGCGGGCGCATCTTACAAATGGCATCAATTTGTCAAATGCAAACGAGAACGCTTATAAATTAAACCTAATAGACAGCCTCGTTTATAATAATGAATATGCCAGACAATCATATTTGGTCTAAAGGTAAATTCCGGGGACACAGAACATCCAGACCAGGATTAATCAAGAAAAGTTCATTTCCCAAATTGCTCCTACCGAGAATCGAATTCGGGACCTCCTTTCTAACGTCCAACAAGGTGTGCAATAATAATATAATAATAATCATTTATTTCGGAACTGGTCCATAATTTGTTAGTAAATTACAAAATGCTTAGGTCTAAGGGTTAGTTAATTTTAATTTTAAGTTAATTTTAAGTTAACTGCCTCCGTGGCCGAACGGTTACCATGCCGGACTGCCTATGTGTGTGTCCATGGCACCCGCGACACAGGGTTTCCCTAGTGCGGGGCTATGTTGATTGTGAGCGTTATTATTATTATTATTATTATTAAAGAATTGTACAGCGACACAAAAACAAAACAACATTTATTTTCTATACGACTGCATGTAGTCGCATCCAATGCATGAGCATCGGCGAGTCCCAGCGTGCGGACAACGCGCTCAGGATGCGGTTGGAGCTGTCGCGCAGGCGGTGCAGCATCGAGGCGCACCTCTTGCGTATGATGGCTGCAAACCCGTCCCTGTGCGCCTCCGCGAACATACCCGAGGCGCTACAGAAGCGCGACAGCCCCAGCAACACCCGGAACGCGTTGTTGTATTGCACGCGCAGGCCGTTGTATGTCCCCCGCGTATAGTCCACCCACAGACTGCACGTGTAAAAAGATCTTAGAAGGCTTTAAAAAGCGTTATCTTTACTTGTTTTGTACATCGTGCAAATCTGCGGGCCAACATATTAGCTCGAACAGCCAACGACCTACGCTCCCTCTCGATGTCGACGACTAAAGATACACGATGTGACTATAGATACAAGAGACTTAAACTTTAAAAATCTTAACATTAGAATTAATCGGCTTCCGACGTCAGGGTGCCCAAAGTGGTGCTAGAACCCCCTTTATACGGCTGGTGGTAGGAAGTCGCCAAAGACAGGAAGCAGTGGAATATTTTGAACAAATATTTTATGGTCAGGTAACCTTATACTATATTAGTATCAATAGAGCGCCTTGTGCGTCTAGGTAAGTACTGCCACCTTAACTATGTCTGCCGCAAGCGGTAAAGTGGAAATGGGCAGGCTTAGATGGGGTAGAAGAGTGCTTGGGTAGATACTCAACGAAGGGTATATAAGTGTAGGCAGGCTACCGATGCACTGGATCGACGACCTTGCCGAGTAAAAATTTAATGAAGAAAGCACAAGACCGGAAAGGTACCTGTTTCACCTTGGTCACCTTACCTATTTCTGCCGCCAAACAGTAATGTCAGCATTACTGTGTTCCGCTTTTGAAGGGTAACGGTGCTGGTGAAATTACAGGCACATGGGACTTGTCAATTTATGTCTCAGGGTGACAGGCGCAGCGGCAGTGCTCCTCTAATCTTTGCAACTGTTAAGGGTAGCTCGCCTACCTTGCTTACCGCTAGACCTACAACTTGTTTGTCACTTTTGGCACCAAAACAAAAATATATTAGTAACCATTGACCACAGAGGTATAAATACTTTGGAAATTAAAATCCGCAAAATTGTTCAAGGAGTCCATATAGACCATACTGAGGGATACAATTGTAAAATAAACGTTGTGGAAAAAACAAATTTTAACCACAAAAGGTGGGAATAAATCACATGTATATTTTATACTTTAACAGCTGCAATATTTCCCAATACCACGAACATATAAGAATCGCGTGCGGCCTATATAATTACCGTCGATTTATACTAACGTGAACTGTAACCCGTTCACCTAATGCATATATTTGTAAGTTAATTATTATAATCAGTTTTTTCGGCCTTACACCGAACTGTCGTAAGTATTGATTTGGTTAGAAAGAATTTTTAATGCCTGGTTAAATTTTCAAGCATAACACGCCTTTAAAATAAACGCCTGTAGAAGTGCTGCAGTTGCCGGTTAAGTAATTTTTAGTTCACTCAGAGTCGTATTCTAGAACTCTACTCAATGCTCAAGTTAGGATTTGAGTATGGTTTAAAGCACTAGAAATCATACTCCAGTCCTTTCCATTAGAGTCGTATTTTCAGTGCTTGAAATCATACTCAGATCCTGACTTGAGCATTGAGTAGAGTTCTGGAATACGACCCTCAGAGTGTTTGTGCACTGCGCGATCCGTGTAACCCTGTACATCGCCCTTTTGTTCATATTTGGTGGCTATTGTTATAATTTAATATTATGTTTGTAAACTTACATTATTATTTATATTGCTTACCTACATACTTACACTACTTACATT